ACCCAGAATGCTGGAGACAGTTACCGGCACACCACTGCCCCAACCTACTGCTGAGCCTCGGCCCTGACCCTGCTGCAGCCCTGGGGTGGGGGCTGGGGGTGCGGGGCAACAGAAGTCCAAAGGAGAGACAGTTCCTGCCCTCAGAGCGGCACACGGATCAGCCAGAGGGCGTGACTCCTGCCTTGTGCCTGTGTGGTCATTTCCACCGTGGACCACAGGCGGCACTGCGCACTGACCCTCGGGAAGAGGGGGCCCTTGAAAACAGACACAGGAAGTTATTAGATATCCATTCCTCCCTGGCCTACTAGGAAGCGACATTTAGTGTTCATATATGTGATTCTAAGGCAATATAAGATCTGGATAATCAAAGAAGCATTGAAGCCAATTCAACGTTTGTAATGAAAACACATTTTAAAAAGAAGCTTTAAATAAGTGTTGAGACAAACAAAACCCTTTCATCTTAAGTTTGAACATTCTCTTAATTGAGATTTTTGTGAACCTGACTTCTTACTACACAGTGCCAAGAGCACATACTTTGGGTGGGGGGAGGGGAGATGACAATAAGGAAAGGGGAACAAAATGAAATGTTGTGTTTGCCCATGTTCATTATACAATTACTTTCTCTGAAATTAAAATTTCCAGTAAACAGAAAACTGTCCTTTAAGTACTTAGCCAAGGCTGCTGGTTATTCCAAAATACCCATGACGCTCATAGCTTTAATAATAGAATCCCTGAATTTTAGCTCATCACCTGGTCACCAGCACTACATTCTCCCATCTCCCTTGGAGGTAGGAGTGGTCCAGTGACCAAGTTCTGGACAGTGGGATGCAAGTGTAGGGGTGTGTGCAACTTCGAGGGCTGGGCCTTTAAAAGGGAAAGACCTGCCTCCACCAGCTGTGGCCCTGTTCTGCTGGCTGGAGCAGCGTGGTAGTGAAAACTAGAGAAACCGTTTTAGAGCATGAGCTAGAGACTTTGTGTTAAATAGCAGAGCAACAATGTAGAAAGAGGCTGGGTCCCCGTCACCATCAGGCTATCGAATCAGCACCAGATGGCCTTCTCAGACTTTAATATGAGAGAGATATTATTAGCTTCTATCTTCTTTAAGCCACCATTATAGCAGCTGAATTTCTATCCTGAATAATACCAACATTACCAACATTTTAGAACATTTTAACCATTTGATTTTAATACTTCAGAAGTGAAATTCTTTCTAGAACATGTTACACTTTTCTTAACTCATTAAACAGACAGAATATAATTAGTACTCTTTTTTGAATCAGGAAGCATAGTTGCTATTCTGAACGTAATACAAAGAGATGAGGAAGCATGGAGGGCTGCTGGCCCGACAGTACGTGGCCTCGGGCCACTGGGCTTGGTGGGTTCACACCTAATTCCTGCAGTTTTCTGACTCCCCTCACAACCAGACTATCAGGGGTCACATTCGCCCAGAGCCTCAAACATAGAGGTGTTCAATAAATGTTACATACTGTTGCTATTAGTATTAATTATTATTATGTATTGGGGACAAATGGCCATTTCAAAAATCCAGTACTTTTATGTTTTGCTTAAATCGGAGTTCTAATTATAAAGACACAGGAACTGGAAATCCCACAACATGGAGACACTGAGTCATCTGTGTCTGCAGATTGGAAGCTAGTTTCTCCTTGGTGTGGATCCTCTCTCTTTACCTCTTTAAAAGACTTCAGTAGTCCTGGATGGTGTGGCTCAGTGGGCTAAGCACTGGCCTGCAAACGAAAAGATCTCCTGTTTGATTCTGGGGCCCGTTCCTCAGCTGGGGGTGTAAGGGAGGCAACTGATCCAATCGATGTTTCTCTCCCTTTCTTTCTCCCTCCCTTTTCCTCTCTCTAAAAATAGATAAAATCTTTTTAAAAAATAAAAAAGACTTCCATGGTCTTATTTTCTGTCATGGAATCTACCTGTTGACCTCAGGGAGTCTCTGAATGAAATCAGTAGCAGATGCAGCAAACAAGATGTAAAGATTCTGTTTGATAGTGAAGAAGACTCCTTCCATGGCAGTCAGAGTACAGCTCTGCAGAAAAAATGCAATGATAAGAGGTGTTTGCTTCCTTTGACTTGCAGGAGAAAGGGCAGCAAGGCCATCAGATGACGCTCCCGTAGCAGTGAGCATGTGCCAGCAATGTGGCTGTGGGCTGGGGCCAAGAGAGAGATGCCAGATGGGCCTTGGGAGGAGGCATGACCTATGAACTCTGGAGCACTGACATCTGGCTGCCAGTTGAACTTTCCCTTTTCTGCCTGTAATTCATTCGTGTTACCCTCAAGACCCAGAGAAAGGTTAAATGTCACCACCTGGGTTAGCAGTCTTAAAGGAGAAGCTTGTTCCCTGCTTGGACCAGAGAGAGTCTCCACACGTGCAGGAGCACAGCGACTGACAGAGCAGCTGGGGCAGCACCAGGCAAGGAGTGACAGGCATCGACCAGCTTAGACCCGTGTCAAGGTCGGCACAACCAGACGTTCTCGGACTCTCCTGGGGACAAGGCTACCAAAGACTCAAACACTTATTTTATTATGATAATATTGTTAGTATGAATATATCATAATGTTATCGTTGATATGAAAAAATGGTCATTTATTACTTTATAATATTAATATATTTTATTATTCTATATTATTAACATATTATCATAGAATTATGACAATAATTGTTATTATCCCTTTGGTGGCCAGGTGTATGTATAGTCTTCTTCACCAAGTGTCTCCCCTTCAAACCTACGGCTGTTAATAAACAGCTATAATTGAGTTTGTAAGAAATGTGTCTATAGTACAGGCAACCAAACTTTGAGGGAGGGCTCAACAGCATTTTCTTAAAATATGAGACCTTTAAGAGTAGACCAAGTGATACCTTATTTTGCTTGCTCAGAATTTTTAACAACATCTGGCTCTCCAGCTGTGTCCCAGATTGTTGAAATTGCCAAATGAGTGGTCACTTAGTAAATGGAAGGAAACCGCGCAGTCTCCTAGCTGGCTTCTCCACAATTAAAACCCTTTTGTTAATGGTAAGTGGGGCCTCAGGGTCTAAGACTTTGTCAAAATAAAACTGGAGAGACTTAATAGTTTGCCAGCTTTATTTTGCCAAATAGGACTTTTTTTAAAATTAGCAAATCCTGACAATATACGACACTTTATAAGATATAATGAACTTTAACACCAAAATAGAGGGAGCTAGATATTTCAGAATACAGGATAATCCTTTCAGTGAAATCATTTTAGCTTCATGAAGACAGTTAAGTGGTTGGCATTTTCCTCGTGTCACGAGTGGGTCAGAACTTCATGCAGACTGGCACCTGGTTTGGAACCATTCTTCTCGAACACTCGGGGAGCTGTCTGGGAGCTGCTGGCCTGAAATAATTCCCACGTGTGTCCCCAAATTCACAGACAATGGACTCAAAGAAGAGCTGTGGCCCTCCCCACCTGCTTAGTGCAGGGCCTGCATGTCTGCTAAGCATCCCAAAAGCTTCCTTCCTGCCCTGCGGTGTCTCTGAGTGTCAGGAGCACTGAAAACTGCCCTTTGTAGGAGGCAGGAAAACTGCAAAGTCGAGTTCTTTCCATTGAGTGAATTTTCATTTTTCTTGGCCCCAGAAATGCTGTGTCTGTCAGTAATTTTCATTCTTGGGTCATGGCTCCCGGGGGAGTAGGAGAAAGGCCAAACAGAAGAAAAAAGTTTGCAGTGTGTTTCTTTAGCTCCTGGATTTGCTCCCTGGCTCTACAAACAGAAGGGCTGCCCGGATCCAGCCTTCCAGATGCAATTCCCAGACCCCGGCAACTGCGCAGGTAGCTGAGCGGGGAGGCCCACCCTGTGCCATCTTCAGAGACACAGTTCCGAAGTAGCTGTGCCCATGAGGAAAATGAGGCCCTCTTTGTTAGAAGAATAACCAGTGACAAAAGCCTTCACCCAAAACCTTTCACTAAAACCAATGACCCCCAAATAACTTTGAGTCACTTTCCGCCACCTACCGTTTTTCTTTTCCAGCAGTTGGAAGAACTGCAGAGAACCAGAGGGATAAAGGCTGAATTCATAAGCCTCATCTTTCTGCTGACCAGAAATAATTTCCATACGTTTTCCTAAATCTATGGGAGTTAATTGCCAATTTGCATTTTGGTCAGAGTATTCAGATCTCAAAATGGAAACATAAGCTCTTTTATTTCAAGACAAGTAAATGAAGGAAAACTTCTGTGGCTCATTTTCTAATGCCCGAAAGGCTTGTGGAGAAAAGCTCAGTGTTTCCTCTCCGGGAGGCTCTTCAAACACATCTCGGAGGAAAATCTAGTCCTCAGGGCTGGGCTGCTTCATGTGACTGCAGTTACACTGGAGAATCTATTCTCCACGCCCCAGCCTCTCTGACTCATTCATTCTTAAAAGGGTCACGGGATTTTAATTTTGCCTCATATGCCTGCTTGGAGTCAAGCTTGACGTCAGCATGTTTTATAAGCAGGAAACTATGAATTAACGCCCAGTGTTTTCAGGATGAGTCCCCTTGTTGGGGCTCTATCTGGGAAAACTCTCCTGGGTCCTTTGACACTAGCCTGCTCGCATTATTAATTTAAATGTCTCGGGAACATCATCTGCTTCTACTAAAATGAATGACGAATGAGTTCTGGAAAGCGGTTTTGAGAGCCGCCCCGAAAGGCACAGTCAGGGGGAAGCTCAGTGTCTGAAACATTAATTTAGATGCAAGGCTGAGTAATGTGTGTGTGGCTCTGACCCTAAAATCTGCTCGCCTTACAACTATCCCCATCTGGTATAATTTGCTTTCTCCACTTGCAACAATGCACGCGATGGCAACAGCATGCATCGTGTGCCCCGTTGTAACAATGAGGCCATGTCCGGCACAAGCTCCAGTGACAGAAGCTTGCAGGTCCCAGCTCCCAACCTCTCCTCACATTCTGCGGTTGGAGTTCTGCCCAAGCACCCACGCCCCAGCCCAATAACGCTGCGGAGAAAGGAGACCATGGAGCCGTACCTTGTACCCGGGTTTCCGCCCTCTTTTCTTTGGGATCTTCACCTCTGGTAAAGAACCAGCTGAAGCAGAATAAAGGTTATGAACTGCCATCTTCACAGGTGTTGAGTGAAGTGGGGGTCGGCCTCGCTTTCTCCCAGGGATCCTCTGAGACTGCATTTCTGCTGGTGCCAGTCTTACAGAAGGAAGTGACAAATCGTTCACCGGCAGAAGAGGTGCTAAGAATTAGTCCAGACACAAAGCAAAACAAAAACAAAAGTGTTTGTTTGGTGTGCAAAGCAAATATGGATCTGGTCTGGTGATTCTTGTCATACTACCCCTTCGCGCGGGGGAAGACCAGATAGGAGAGGGCCAGGCACCAGCAGGAGCTTTTATGGTGCTGCTGAGCTGCACTCCTGGTGTAATTTCAAGGACAGCGAATTTCCACAGGACTTCAGTGAAGTAGGAAAGATACTGGCTGGTGGAGAGGACAATAAATCCCCAGCTCCAAACACAATCAATAGTGTCACCTGCAACATGCCAACTTTATCAGTCTGTGTCTCAGTTTCCCCAGTTAGTTCAACTTTGAACCAATATAATAATAGTATTAAATAAACACAACCATTCTCTCATACTCACTTCTATTCCCTTGGTTTGGTTACAAATTGTTATGAACTTTTTTCCATGGCAGAAATTTAACAGTATAAATCAACTGTATTAGAGTCAACTGTGCCCCTCGGTCACATTGTGGGGAGAGGTTTACATATAGGAATGTTTATCTGAACATGATTTAGAACTGCAAACTTAAAATGGGTATAGCCCAGATAACAAGCAAGAGGGGAATAGTTGATTTATCTACAGAATAAAACAATCAACTAGTTAAAAGCCTTTAAAAGACGTTTTAGAGTCAAGGGATTATGTTGATAAAGATACATCCGTCAACATTATTACATTTCTAGATTTCACGTCTGTACTCCACAATACCAACAAATACCCAAAATACTCATTTTCCAAAAAGGATGCATCCAAGAACATTGAGGAACCACCAAAATTTCCCCCGTAAGATTTTTGCTACATGAAATTTGGTCTGAGTCCCACTTTGAATCATGATCCAGTTTCTCCTTCATCATTGTTTGTGGACTTTGGAAACAGGAATTTTTCCTAGCCTGGGACATGTTTCTCTATCATTCTACTTTGCCTCTCGTAAGGAGGCCAGCGATGTAGCAACTAACATCGAGATCAAAAGCCAACAAACCCGTGATCAGAGATAGCACTGGCTCTCGGGTCCTCGTGAAAGGTCCTTGCTGCCTTCTCCCACTGGTGAGCTGGGATTCTGTCCTAACTGAGACTAATCCCTCACGAAACTCTTCCTGTTGCATAGGTTTTGAAAAGTAAAGGAAGGGTAACAAATTAATTCACTTACTATCCTATAAGTTTTTATCACTCAAAAAGACACTTACCTGTCCCCAAATTTCTCAATATGTCAGAAAAATATTTCCTTGGGAAAAACGTCATCTTTTAAACTGGGTTTTTTTGTTGTCCTACTTTTCTCTCCCTACTGGGTGGAAAAACCAGGACTTGGGCTACTTTTTATTTGCTTCCATAGAAGACATCCACCTTAGGAGTACAAAGGACCTGCCTTTCCAGATAATTAAGTCTGATCAACAAATTTTATACTAATAGAGAAACAATGAACCATTATTGGTAGCATATGAGGTACCTCAGCAATTGGGAAATACTTGGAGATAGGAAGTCTTCCTATAGTCTCTCCCATTCACCACACCTGGATGATCACATGGTTCCACCGTTAATCAGGGAGACACTATGTCCCAGTTCCTTGTCACAAATAAATACACTTTAAGTAACAAAATAGAAGACTTAAAAATTGAAGAGGTTATTTTAACTATGGGAATTCTTTAAATTTCTTATTTGGAATTCTTTTAAAAAGTTGGGGAAAAGCACTTACAAAGCGGTGTTTCAATGACAGACTTTGGGAAAGATGGTGGCCAAGTTCAGGGTCCCCCTAAACCTCCCTTTCCAAAGGGACGACATGAGCAACAAACAGCAAAAGCAGCAAAGACCAACACTGAAAATCAGGAAGCGTCCTTACTCTTGGAATCTTGGGATGCAGTGGAAACAAAGCAGGTGAAACATGTTTAGGGAGAACATAATTATGAAAATTATGAAAAAATTATCAAATGTTTAAAGAAAAGATCAAAACAATAGAAAAGGGAAATACTCAAAGACATATTAAGGAGCCATGTTCCAGAATGAAGAGGCTCTCTGTGTCTTAAGAAAATTTCCTCAACTATGAATAGCAATAAATCCTAATAAAATAACATACTTCAAAGCAACAACATAAAATCTATAAGAATTTGTGCAGAACAAATAGATCATTTACAATGGGAAAAATAAATAGGCTAATTCTCTTCAGCATCATTAGCCAGAAGATAATGGGGTCACCATGATGTCGGGTTTTTTTCCCAGATATTTGTAGACTCTCAGCATAGGGCCTTCGCGTGTGTGGTTCCCTTTGCCCGGAATGCTTTGTCTTCCCCTCTCGTTCACTCCCCTCACTCTTCAACAGTTAGCTCGGGGAAGCTCGGCCTGACCTCTCATTACTGTTTCCGAGGCTTAGAGCTCCCCAGCTGTGACTCAAACCGCTGCATGTGCAGCATCCACCGTGGAACCCGGACAAAGGACGCAGATGGGGACATGAAGGTTATGGCACCTGATGTGCCCCTGACCTAGAAATTGATCGTCTTCTGCCAGTACCATGACAGTGTGGCAGGTTAACTTGTTAGCTTGCAGAGGCTAAAACCTCAGACCCTTCACAGCTCCTCATATAGATTTAGTAAGTAGAAAGAAAAAATCATATTTTTAAATAATGAAAAATAATATTTTTTAAAAATTCTACTTGTACTAAAAGAAGACTTGAATAAATAAAAAATTATTCTATTATTGGACAGATGTATTTTAGAATGTAATTTTTACCTAAATTATTCTCTAAATTAAATGCAATCACATAAAAAAGCCAAAGTCACTTAAAGAAAAGGACAAAACAAAAGCCAGCGGGGAGACTCACCCTCTTTGTTCCTAACATATATTATTATGAAACTATAACAATGGCAAGTGTATGGTACAGGAATAAGTAATATGACCAATAAAAAAGTTAGTCCAGAAATTAAACAGACACTAAGTTTCCATTTGTTTGAATTTTAGGATCGTTTTATATCAGTACAGGAAAGGTGAACAAATGACTTGTGGACAACTGGCACTTAGGAAAAAATTACAAAATTTACAAAATTACATAATTTACAAAACTAAGAAAGAAGAAACTGAAACGAATGGTCAATTATCACAAGAAAGGGTTCTAATCTTTGCTGGTAACCTCCCAGATGAGTAGTCGAGATGCCATTGGTGGCTCTCAGACTGAAGAGCATGAGAGCGAATGACCCTGAGAGCAGTCTGCTGCTGAGCGGGGAGAGCGGGCGCTCCTACTCACCGTTGCTAGGGCTAGAAGTCAGCTAACCCTTCTAGAGGGCAGTTTGAAAATCACATAAAACTTTACACATGCACGCTTCCTGAACCAGCTCATTATTCCTAAGGACTTCTCCTAAGACGATAATCTGAGAAAAGCACAAAGATATATGGCCAAGGGTATTCTTCGCATATTAATTATAATAGTGAAATACTGGAAGCAATCAAAATATTTCTCAAAACAGCCTCAAGTTAGTAAGTTATTTCACATTCATAAAACGGAATACTTTGTCATTTTAAGTATATATGTGTGTGTGTACATACATGCATGCATATATGAAGATTGCAAATAATATATCTAGTATGATTGTAGTCACATGTTTTCATATGTAGTTATACATAAGTCTGCACATGTTCAGGCATAGAAAGAGGTCTGGGAAAGCTAATCATCAAAAGGCCGATGGTGGTTCTCTCTGGGCAGTAAAATATTAAAAATATGTTTTTGCTTTCTTCTTTGCACCATTTTTTACTGTTTAAATTTTTTAAACCATAGGTAGAAAAATAGTATAAAAAGAAAATTAACAATGAGTAAATAATTCTTATTCTCTTGGAGCTTCTATTGGAAATGTGTGCTTCTTGCATGACCTTTTTCCCCTTGTTTTCTAATGGTTTTAGCTCCTCATCCACAGAACTTCACTGGCCCCTGCTTTAATATCCCAAATTAGTTTCAACAAAAAGGCAAAAAAGAATTTATCATCAAAAATATCAGAGAAGATGGCTTCAGAGCTAAAAACAATGTCTATAAACAGAAGACGAACAGGAGTGCCTCCCTGGACCCCCGAGAGAACCCGCTCCCAACCCTCACCCTCCTTGATTCCACCTCCCTCCAGGTAGGACCAGGTGGCAGCTGGGTTATTATCCTTCCCCCATCATCTCCAAAGACCTCACAAGCTGTCCAAAGACATCCTAGCCATGGATACACAATGTGATACAACCAAATACGTAAATCGTTTCAGAACTGTCAAAGCCCTGGAGATGTACGTGATACCTCTGAATTTCTCTGCTTTCAGTTATGCACTTCTGTGGGCTGCCTCAGTTCAGGTCAGGTTTGGAAGCCAACTTAGAGCAAAGAACTTTAGTAAACACTAGAAGATTCTGTCCCTAGAACAGCCTAGTCATCAAGTCTCTGGGTCTCCAAGTTTCACTTCTATGTTGTCATCAAATGCTGGCCTGACATTAAATCAAGTGATTTGTGGCTGGTTTCCTAAGTCTCCCTTTTCTTATCAAAACAAGGCAAATATTACAACTAAAACCAAGAGAACCTATGACCTAGTCTATGAATTTAGGGATAACATTTCAGCTGTTGGTCTTGCAAATTTAATGCATATAAATTAATGGTGCTCTATCAAAGCAAAGAACAAGGAATTACCAAATCCAAAAGCATACACCAAAGCCTTGAGTCACCTAGGAATTATCCTAAGGCATGTATTTATGTATTTACATATCCACTCATTCATTCACTCATTCTCTTATTAATTTATCCAACAGATGTTTGTATCATGCATTCAGTATCAAATAGTATGGTTAGACACTGGGATTACAGATGAGAACAAACAAGACACACATAACACAGTCACCAACTTTGGAGAAGCAGACAAATATAGAGGCAATAATAATATGGGAAATAGATGCTGTAACAGAGGTTTCATATGAAATGTTATGAGAATACCATGGAGGGAAGAAATTATTTCTCTTAGCAGAGTTGGGAGGAGTGGGGACAGGAAAGCACAAGAAAGTGACATCAGAGGCAGGGATTTCCCTGGCAGAGCAGAGCAAGGTAAATGCACAAGAGCTGGCAGCAGGACACGTACATGCTGGGAGGTTTGGTGGTGCAGGGAGAAGGGGTGGGTCAGCTCAACTGGAAGAAGGATCAATGATTTTCTGTTGTTCCTAAAAGCACTGAGAAGTGATAGTTACAAGGATCTCTAGAGTCTTTAATGTACTCTAAATTATTTCCTTCTGTGAACTGCATGGTATGGGCTCCTGACCTTGCTGTAATGCTCTTTCTCACTGCCATTTCCTAAGTAAGAGGGAACCCTATTTTCGCTCATTCTTGGGCACCATGTTGAATTCACCGTCAGCCAGTGCCTCTGGTGTGATTATTTTGTCTGCAGCCTTGTATGCACCCTGATACCCATGCTCCATGGGATGCTTAGGTCTGTAGGTGAGGTAGTTTCTAGTGATAAGAATGCAACTTGGCATGTAGCTAAAATTCAACCATTCTTCAAGGTGGCCCACGCCCTCCTGCTTCTCCACACACGGATCTCTCACTTCTCTCAACTCCTTCCCCATCTATTGCCTGCACCACCAGGTTCAGCAAGTGCTGATTAAATGAATGGTCTGCATCACTTTCTCATTGTTTCACACACATAAGTGATTTCTGCACATTCCTGGAAGCCAGGGGCCATATTTCATATGTCACTCTGCTTTTCAGAGCACCTGGTGCAAAACTGTGCCCGCAGAGTGCACCTGGCACCTGTGGCAACGCCGTTCACCAGGGACTCTGCCTGACTCATCTAGGAAACAGCCCACAGCTGAGGTCAGAGGCGCACCTTCGGATTCTTAAATTTTGGATATAAATATATCAACATAAAAGAACAGTTTGATGGTCAATGAAACCTTCATACCATAAGAAGAGGGACAGCAATATATTCTGTTAAATGGAGAAAATGCAGCCCCCTTATACACATTTCTCCCCAATTCTGACACTAAAATTGGGGCAACAGAAGCCAAAGCCAACACCTCCCTGTACTCACGCCTGCCTGGTGCTCACATTTTGCCCTCTGATACTGTTCTCCACCCCAAACGGCATCAGGACTCCAAAGAGATGATTGATTCCACATCTTGGGGAGAGAGAAATGTCAGGATTAGTCTGCAATGTCTTATCCTTGCCAGATCAAGAATGATTTAAGGACATCGTGGGTAGTTCTAAGAGGACAAAAAAGCAAATTGTAACAATTTCTGAATCATTAACAACAAAAACAACAACGATGGTAATATAATGAGTTGAAACAATTGTTTGTGGAAGGTTCTGAGTTCTTTGAGACATAAGGTGCACCAGACTGTAGTTGTAAACATTTTAATATAAAAGAAGGGTAAATAGAATAAAATGTCACTTATTCGTGCTGATTTGAGTAAGTAGGGAGAGCTTATCTGTAATTATTTTGTTCTATTAAGTACTGATATGCTCTTGTCTCTACCTGTCTGCATTGACATGGGTGAGCACAAAGAAACTGTAAATAAGCCAACTTGTCATGGAAAAATAAGAACTGATAGGATCGAAAAGCCCCAGGTGTCCCAAATAATAACCAGGTAAAAAGTGGTATCGATAGAATATTCGAGGGTGATAGCTCTTTCACATGTCTTAGAGCAGCTGCAATGTGCACACTTGTTGTCTCAACCCCTAGGAGATGAGGTTCCCGATGTGCCCGGTAAGTACACAAAGATGTCCAGACACAGGTGCCTCCTACGTCACAGGAAGAACTCCGACCTCTGTTGTTCAATAGGGTGCAGGGGTGTCCTGCTTCCCTCTAATGGGCCATCTGCTGTGAAGGAGACATTAAAAGCCTGGCAAACCCATTCTACCCTTGGCCACCTTCCTGTTTCGAGCATCCACCCCATCTTAGATCATGTCCCCCATACTGACAGACCTTCTCTGGGAGGTGACGTTCTTGCAGAAGACAGCCCTCGAGAGACTCCCGTGCGCTGGCCCTGGGCCTTTCTCTCTCAGCTCCATCCCTCACCCTGTCCCTGCAATTCTCTGTGTGAAAGGAGCTGCCCCCCACCCCCTCGAGCTGTTTTCCAAGGTTTCTGCGACAGCTGACTATTAGGGTCTGCCGAAAGGGAGGTGTTCATCTGAGTTTGAAGGGTGGGGTTGACAGGGGTAAAGCAAGGGAAGCAATCGCCCTCTCTCTTTGCTTTGCTAGCTCTCACTGGAGAGCCATGTGGTCCACACCCTGTTGGGTGACCTGGCCCTGCCCTCTGATCCCCCACCTCCTCCCTCTGCCCCTCTAGCTGAGGGGCAGTTGCAACTGCAGGGAGTGTGGCTAGTTTCCAGTCTCCTACTTGTGCTCTTCCATCACCATGCAGCCATTTCCAGCATTAAAAACCTAGTGTCTTAAAAGCTAAAGAGATTTCCTAGTTAGGGCTGGACAGACAGACAGACAGATGGACATGGAAAAGGTTGGTATCTGCCTGCCCTTTAGGCAGGTCAGTTAATGACCCAGCAGAATGGGAAGCTTGTAAAAAAGCCTCCTTTGGAAATTTCCTGTCTTTCCTGCTGTCTCAAAAGATGGAACCTGCCTGTCTATGACCACACCTGGGGACAAGCCTACATGCCAACCCACGGGCTGTGTGGAGGAACCTGCTATTGCTGCGGTCAGCAGAATCAGAGATAAAAAAAAAACGAGAGTGAATGATCTTCAAGATCAAGGTTTAAGTTCACGTTGTGGCATCTATGGCTTGCTGCCATAGGATAGGTGAGAAAGATACATGCTGCAGATACACACACACACATATGCATGCATATGGTATCTCTGGAAGTGTTTACAAACAGTGGCAGTCATCTTGGAGAAAGGCAGTGGGGACTGGGGTTCTAGGGGTGGAAGGGGAAGGACTTTCCTCTGCATGCTATCTCCTACCTTTTGTATTTTGTGTGTATTAAAAATAAATAGACAAACAAATCAATAAACCCAATCTGCTGCCTGTTAGTGGGTGGAGGGCTCTGCCAGCTGCACTGGCCTGTGGGAGGCAGGAGGGCCAGGTGCCCCGCACCCTGAGAGGACTGCACATCACAAGCCAGTCCGTGGGGGCTGCACTCCTCATGCGCGTGTGGCTGGGTGCACTGGCCCTGACCGGGACGCCTAAGAACCCCAAAGACTTGACTGAGAGGACCAGAGACCATTGTAGTGGGTGTTCGTGGCACCTGAGGCACAGTATTAGGTGCTCGTGAAAATGACCCCATCCTGGCTCCACTCCTAGTCAGCTGAGAGATGAAGACCAGCCACTTAATGTCCCTGGGCCTCAGCCCTGTGGTCTCCCCAGGTGGGGATCTCTCAAGCCCCTGACGAGCAAAGCCCTAAGATTTGTAGATAAAGTGGCAAGAAGCCCTTCTTACATTTAGACAGTTTCTTATTCGCATAGAGAGCAAAAGCAAGAAGAAACCTACTCTTCTCCCACAGGATGACCCAGAAACGAAAGGGGCCAGGTGACAGCTATCCAATAGGTGGGGCACCCTGTGGCTGAGGAGCTATCATGCTGCCACAAAGCAATTTCATAGCCCACAGCTGCCCCCTGAGGGAGAGCTAGGCAAGGCCCCAGGGCTCATCGGCACCAGGAAGAAATGAAAAACTGTCCTAGATCAGCCTCCGGGACTGACAGGGGCAAGTGGCAAATGGCCTGGCAGCAGCTCTTCCCAGGCCTCCCATGCTCTCCTGTTCCAGGAGGGTCACAGGGATTCTGCGAAGACAGACGAGCTGCGGGCCAGCCTTGTCCGTGCAGCCTGTGGGGAGCCTGCAGGGTGGCTGGGCGCCAGCAAGGCAGCCGGGGGCCACAGCAGAGCCCGGCCCCTGCCCTTCCTCCTGCCTCTGAAGAGGGGGAGAGAGAGGATGTGGTGGGAGAACAGGTCTGAGGCAACCAGCACCTCAAGGATGAGGACCTAAGAGCCCAGGACACTCAGAGAAAAGCAGTTCTGTGGGGCTGAGATTCTCAGGGGCCACAGGACAATGAAAGGGAAGTCAGAGCTCGGAGCCTGCCAGCTCCTCTGCCCCTCTCCCTCACCAGGCCCCTGCCACCTGGCGCTCCTTGAGGGAGTCTTTGCACCCTCCTCCTTTACTACGGACCCCAGAGGACAGCCATGCTGAAGGGGCCCCTGTATGTAGACCCTGGGGTTCCCTCCATCACCTACTCTTCTCTCATTCCAGGAGGTTCTCATGGGGGTGGCCATAACCATGGAACTCACCTGCCTCCAATCTGAATGCAAGGTATGTGCCCTACTCGTGGTTTCCTCTAAGGTGGAGGCAGACAGCTGGCATTACTGGATCTGCTCAGCTCTTTAAGAGAAAGCTCAATCCACTCCCCAAAAGGCAGCAGCCTCTGCCTGAAACGTGAGGCCTTCCCTTCAGTTCAATGAAAAGGAGTCACCACCAAAGACATATTCCTCAAGGAGATGGCTTGCCAGAGACCCCTCCATCACAGCTCTGACTGGATGGAATGTTTATATTCAACATCCTTCCCTGCAGCTGCAATGGAACAGTTTTGGTCAGAGTATCTCCAGCCATTCTATTTACTTGTATCCTTTCCTGCTTCTCCTAATATACATGAGCTTCTTGAAGGAGGCATGAATTATGTCTTGGTCAATGTAGCCCACCTAATTCAGCATCTGGCACATCTTAGGGACTTACCAAATGCTTATCAAACAAATGATGCACAATGAATGAGAGAATGAATGCATGAGTGATCAGCAACCCATGCCCTCCTCCAGGATCCCCCCATCCCCAGCACTGAGGCAGCAAGATCCAGTCCAAGGCACTGGTCACCATCAGGCCCAGAACTCTGTTCCATGCCAGTCACTTTCCAAATGGAAGGCCTCCCCAAACAAGACACAGGGGGCCACACACTCCAAGATGGGCCTTCACCTACTTTGTCTCTATTAATTTTCACGATGCTGTGAGATGAGCATTGTTGTCCTTGGGTTTACAGTGGAGCAGCCGGGGCCCGGAGAGCTTTCGTGAGGTCACTCATTAGCAGGCAGGTCTCAGATTCCACCACAGGGCCCTTGGCACAAATCCCGCAGCTGCCTCCCAGGGTCAGCCCTGGGGCGCATGGCGGGAGCTGGCAACGGAGCTGGTTAGAAGGGACAAGAGGGAAACCTAACCCTTCAAGTCACGTCTCCCAAGTCCCCGTAGGATATAAAGAGAAGATCCTGACAGTGTGAAAGCTTCAGTGGTTCGAGGCCACCCAATCAATTTGCGGAGCACACAGTGCCTGCATAGGTAGAACACACGTCTTTAGTCAGTGCCTCCAGCACACTGACTGGTCCATATAATTTTAGAAGATTAATGAAAAGTTTTGCAGGTAGCAGTGAAGCAACGTTTGTTGGCAGGTGCGAGTCCCTGCAGGGAGGTGGAGCTGGTGACTCTCGTCACCAGTCTCTGAACTCACATACAGTCTCTGAACTCTGTAAGAAAAGACACCTTTTTGAGCAGCTATGAGTATTTCTTTTTTTTTTTTTGCAAACCACTACTTCCTGTTTTGTTCTCTATTTATACTTCACATTTAGTTTTGAGAAAGCACTGGTGGTTTGGTGTTTTGGTTGTTTCTGACTCAATCTTTATCTACAAAGAAAACCCCTTTTCAAGATGATTTTTTTATAACATAAACCAATTGTACACTTAGATTCCTTTAAAATACTTTGCCAAGAAAACTTCTTAAAGCTTTCACATTAAAACCACAAGATTCTAATAACACCGGTCACAGCCCTCTAAGTCAGTGCCTCACACAGCACAGCCCCATTCGCCAGCCTTGGGGGTGTGTGGATTCCTTAAGGACTGCATGCGGGGCTTCTTTAGGCAGCAATGTTTCTTCCAACACAAACCTTTTCACACAACTCTATTCAGGCGGAAGTAGAGAAATGTGTAACTATGATATCTTCATTATGATACTCTTCGCAAACCCCTGAAGTATCTAAGGCACTCACTAGCACTATGTAAAGGGACTAGCAACTCAGTGTTTGTCCTCGAAGAACTCACGGTCTCACTGCCTAAGAAAGGTGCGCCACCTGGGACCCATGTACACACGACGCAGCGGTCAGCAGAAAACAGATGCGAACCACCCAGGAATCAAT